GGTGTTAACAGAAAGTCGCAATAGGCTAGGATTAACTTACTCATGTAAAGATCTTTAATGTAATGGCTATAAACTCTCGTTTAATAAAAGTCTCGCATTTAATGTCTATTTGCGATTTTAAAAAAAAAAAAAAAAAAAAAATAATATAATATTTACCTATAAAAAAAAAAGAAATGTATATTTTATAATTATATAAAATTATTATTTACTTTTTACAAAATTTTTTTATTTAATATAAGATTGAATCTCTTATTTTATTTAAATCATTTATTATTAATATATTATATATTAAAATTTTCTAAAAAAATATATTTTTATTTTAAAAATATTTAATAATTATATTATAACATTTATAAAAAAATTAATAAAAAAAAACAAATTAATTAAATAGATTAGTTATTTTAGAGTTTTGACTTTAATTTAATTAAAAACTTACAATTTAATATTTAAAAATTTTAATATATTTTTTTTTAAGTAAGTAAATATTGTTGCTTTATTATAATTATAAAATTAAAAAAATTTATATATAAAGAAAGTAACAATATCTCTTATGTAACCAGTTGATTAGTAAGTTTAATGCTAGCTTTCCTATAGTAAACTATCTAAGTTATAAAGGAAAAGAAATATTAAAATCAATATATTGTCAAATATAGTATCAAGCAGTTATAATTGTAAAACTAAAGATACTTTGAAGAAATATGCCATACTAGTAATTCCATTTAACTAAAGTATAGTATATATATACTTATTACAAATAGCCAGACTATTGTTCAAAGTATACAATAGTATTGATGATATATATTTTTTAATAGTTTATTTGTTATAATAATTATGTTGTTGTTTTGTTGATATGATTAATGATTGATTTATTTATTAATAGTATAATTAGTTTGTTTGTTAATAATATGATCTTGTTTTGATAGTTGTTGCTAAAAAAGATTTTGTTTATATTGATCAGTATATAGTGTTTTAATAGTATAGATTTGTTTAAATAATTGATAGTGTTTGATTAATTAGTTTTAAAATATTAATCAATTGACAGAAATAAACTAGTTGTGGTTTTTTTGTAAAAATTTTTTTGAAAAAAAGTTTTATGTTTTTTGTGACATAGAAAATTATACTGAGCAATAGTAAGAAGTATACAATGAATATATTGCTAGTTTTTCAAGTTAACAATATAAATATTTTTAATATATGATTTGGTTTTTTGATTTGCAAAGAACATCTTTAAGAAAAGAATATGGTTATTTAATAAGAAATATGTATTTGTAAGAAGTGAAAATAGAAAGAATCCCAAGAAATATTTATAAAGAAATAATTGCCAAGGATTTTTTTTCATATAATTAAAAAAAAAAGCAGGATTTTTAAACTTGTTTTTCTTTGATTAGAGGTTTCATTCTTATGCACCAATATAATTCTTTAATTTTTTTGAGGTTCTTATAGTAAATATAAAGAATATGTGAAGGACTTTGAGATATTGAAAGATGAGAAAAATATTTGTTTCTTTAATTTTGAAAGATAATTACTAAAAAAAAAAAATTTTAAGAAAAAAGTTATATACAGAAAAGAGTTGTTTTTTTTTTAAAATTTTATTTAAAAATTTTTATATTATTAGTTAAAATCAAATATATAATATTAACTTTATTAAAAAAATATAATATAAAATATTATTTGAATATTTTTATCAATTAATTATTAGTATGTTTAACTAGATTGTTACTTTTGTTATTTTTAAAAAAGAATTTATAAAATATTAAACTTTATTGATTTTTTTGATTTTTTTATTGAAAATTTTCAATCAAGTAAAAAATCAATCTAATGAAATAAAAAGTGTTTATATAACCCATACATTGAATAAGGCTATAGGTGAAAGGAGTAGGTTAACTTAAATAAATCTCTGTAAACATGTAATTGAATATAAATTACTTAACAAAAATAAAAAGTGTTTATTAGTTTGAACCAGACTGTATATTAAATTTATAACCTTTAATATGCTATATAAAGATGTTTAAATGCTTTACAGATACCACGAAATACGTAATAACTTGTCATGTGATTTAAATGCCACACAGTATATTTAAATAGAGCTAGTTACTAGCACTTGTTAACACAAATGTCAACTTCATTGTTTCCTACCCCAGTTCCTCGGCGTAAATACCCAGTGGAGTTCAAAGCCGGCAGACTTACTCGAGATGGGAACACCAATTGGCTAAAGGCCGACGAAAGAAAAGGGTAATTCTGTAAATTGATTTTTTTCGATGATTGAAAACAAATTATTAAAATATTGTATAATGTTCCGTGATTTGAAATTTGTCAAGACTCATCTATATGGACATGGTTTGTAGTCTCACAATAATATGCGATTTACTCTTTCTTGTTTTAATAAGACCTTTATATTCTCTTAGGGGGAAGATCAGTTAATGCATTTCTATTGGAAGGATCGGAAAACAGGCACTGTTGTTGACGACGTAAGCGCATATATCAGCCAGATCCGCCTACACAAACATTTAGAATTATCTTAAATCTATTGTTATTACTTCTTAAAGTTAATAGTTTTTCCTGAAGAAGCAGAATTCACACGCGTAGAACAATGCACCACAGGCCGTGTATACTTGCTTAATTTCAAATCATCAGCTCAAAAACTATTTTTTTGGATGCAAGACGCTAAGGATGATAAGGACGAAGAGTATGCTAACAAAGTGAATAGATTACTTAACGACCCGCAAGGAGCGTTAGCAGAAAACAGACAACAGAGTAGTAGCACAAGTCAATTCGGTAATCCATTTCATGATTTGGGAATGGATCAAGAACAATTAATGCAACTACTTCAAGGGCAAGGACCATTTGGGTAAATTATATTCGATAATGAGTTATTGTTGTCACAAATTAAATATTCATTTGTGTTCAACAAAAATCTTTTGTTATCATAGCCTTCCAATTCCATCAACTACACCCGCTAGCGAACCTCAATCAATCACAGCCACAACGTCAGAAGCGGGTTCCGGTGTACAGCCATCAGAACACACAGTAACTCCGGAACAATTGGGAAATTTAAGGAACATTTTGTCAGGAATTCAAATACCTGGTAAGTAGGCATGGAAGAAAAATCATTTTTGATAATTCTCACACGTGATATATCACATAATTACAAAGAGGGATCTAGACAATCAGGTAGATGTTATTTATATTATTTGTTTATTATACTTATATATTATACATGTTATATTCTAATATTCTAATGTTTATTTACATTATATCTTAGATTTGAATCTTGCGGATGTACTCGCTCCCTCTGCTATTGGTCCATTATTGAATGATCCCGAGTTGTCATCAGGTATTTACAAAAATATGTTTTCGGAATTGAATTCATTCACTGATAAAACTATGTTCCATAGCTTTGTTCCCGCATCTACCACCAAATATTAACCGAACACCCGAAGAATTACGAGAAGTCATCCAGAGTCCACAATTTGCTCAGGTATCTTGTAATTAAACTTCAAATACCAATGCTTTGCACAGGTTTTTGACAAGAAATTTTTGAATTTAGGCATTGCAGTCCTTAAATATAGCTTTGCAGTCTGGCCAGTTAGGACCTCTTCTTACTCAATTAGGATTAGATCCTTCAGCCGGTAATGGTGGGTTGTTGAAATAAATAGATAAATAAAAATTTTATTGCTGGAATATTTAGTATAATCATTATTTTAATAGGTGTTGAAGCGTTTCTTCGTGCAATCCAAGAACAAGCTTCCAGGCGTCAAGAACATAATGAAGATGATAATGCTGATGAACAAGGTGGTGATCGAATGGATGAGGATTAAAAAAAAAAAAAAAAATTTTTTTTTTTTTAATTCGATTTGTGTAATAGGTTATTCATTATTTGTTTATCAAAGTGCTATGAAAAAAGAATGTTATGAATAAAATCTGTATTAAAATGTTAATGACAAAATTTGTAAACATAGAATTTGTAATAAATCTTATTTTTATAATTATTATTTGTAATCGAGTTAATAAGTATGTAACAAAAGTCTTTGTTTTTATTAATAATTTAATAAATAATTAATTAATTAGTAAAAAAATATATAATGAAAATATATAAAAATTTTAAATTCTAATTTAAATAAAGATAGCAGTTTAAAAACAATAATAATCAATTATTAAAATAAATCAATTAAACATATGTATATTAATAAAACTTTAAAATAGTTTTTTTGCTTAATATTAAGTTACTTTTTATAATAATCTAATAATAAATATATTTTATTAAAAAGATAATTAAATATTCAATAATTTTTTAATACTTAATTAATAATTTAATAAATTTTTTATAATTAAAAATATATCTTTTCAATAAAAAACTTTCTTATTTACTATACATTTCTTAAAAATTTTCATTAAAGAAATTACAAAACACTAATTAGTAGTAACATGCTATACTCTCATTAAAGATATAGCTCTTGCTAGTAAAAAAGCTATAAGATCAAAAATAGTTTATTTTATTTTTAAACAAGTTGTCTTGAATAGCAAGCTAAACATATTATTAAAATTATATTTGAATTTCTTAATAATAAAAAAATCAAGTATATTTTTTATAGAATTAAAAAGTACAAACTAACAAAACACAATAACAAATATTGATATAGAATTATATACAGTCACATTCCTCTAATTGCATATCCTCTAAATGCATAACTTCTTTAAATGTATTGATTAACTTTAGTCCCAAGTTGGGACTTATATACTTATTGCATAACCTTTTAATGCATATGCAATTGAATTTTTTATAGTTTTAAATGCATAAATTATATAATTATTATATAAATCACATGATAATAAGATTTATTATTTATTAAATTATTAAAAGTATGAATAACGATAAATTATTAAATTAAAATAATATGTAAATTATTAAAAATATGAATAAATATATAAATTATTAAAAATTATTAAAAATATCAGAAAAATGATTAGACAGTATATAGAATTCTAGGAGGTAATTTATTATTTTTCATTTTCCTTCTTTACTCTTTATTTATTCATTTCTCCTTCTCCACTCTCTGTTTCTTTTTTCTTCATCCTTTTCCCATTTTCTTCCCTTTCCCTGTAAATTGGTTCGATCATACTACATATATATACTTCTTGATTTATCCTTTTTATTCCCTCATTCCTCTGTTTTCCCGTTTTCTTCCCTTTCCCCATGAATTGATTCATAATTGATTAGAAAAATTATTTGACGAACGATCACACTACATACTTCTTGATTCATCCTTTTCCTTCCCTCTTTCTGTCATTTTCCTGTTTTTCTTCCCCTTTGATTTAAAAAAGCTCCTTACGCGAATTAGAAATAAAGTAAGTAAACTATAATAAGAAAGAAAAAAATCTTAAAAGACATAAACTTATTTTTATGTATTAATGATTAGAAAAGTTGTTTAAATGATCACGCTAAACATTTACTCCCGTTTTTTCTCACCTCTTTCTGTCATTTTCCCGTTTTTTTTTCCTTTGATTTATAATTAGAAAAGTTATTTGACGAACGATCACGTCAAATATTTACTCCTCCCATTTTTTCTCTTCATCCTTTTTTTCCCCTCTTTCCATATGCCACTCCACTGCAGAAAATAATTTGTCTGAAGGACATCTACGGTTAGAGCAATAGTGATGCAAGGTTTGTCCGTTCAAGCCAATAGTTTTGCTTGATTACTTCAGACAGTTAAACGGTTTCCGTTACATAGTTTTTATCTAAAATTTAGATTTTGATTAGAAAAGTTACTTGTTGAACGATTACACCAAACACTTACCTGTTTTTTCTTTTTCCGTCGTTTTCCCTTTGATTTATAATTAGAAAAGCTGTTTGATGAACGATTATGCCAAATATTTACTTCTCCCGTTTTTTATCTTCACTCTTTTCTTTCTTTCTTTCCCATTCTTTTTCCTTTTAATTTATGATTAGAAAAGTTGTTTGTTAAATAATTATGCTAAATACTTACTCCCCATTCTTTTTTTTTCCTCTCTTTCCATTCTTTTCTCTTTGTTGTTTTCCTCCCCTTTACATCATCCCCCTGCTCACTTTCCTGTGAATTGTTTTACGGCTGATTAGTAATATATTAGATGTAAAAATCACATTCTTTAATTATTACATTAAATACTTACTGCCTATTCTTCACTTATTTCTTTTAACACACAATCATTAGTACACGTAAAGAATTATACTGGAGTGTTATACCTTTTCTATACTTACCTTTTCATTTAGACATAAAAAAAAATTAAACATTATAAATTTCAAATTAATGCAAGTGTTCTTTTTTCTTTGTATCGAAGCGCTTTATTTGTATTGCTCATTATTAATCATCATATTAAAAAAAAAAGATCTCTTATAAGGATTCAAAATAATCTTCCATGTTTTTTTGCACATGTGATTTCTCCTCTAATCTTCTCAATATATGACCGACCTTCATCAAATTACCAATTTCCATCGAATAATTACCTTCTTGTTTTAGAAAGAACTTAACAATCCTATCAAATGATTGCAATGCCTCTTTAGCCGACACTGTTGGAAGTTCATCTTCATTCTCCGTTTCTTCTTCAATTTCTTTTAATTTGCAAACGAACTCAACAATTTCCATATCTGACAGTTCCTTTTCGATTATTTCTTCATTTTTTAGATTTAAAAAATCCTTAACCATCATAGGGTAACAATAGTGTAGCAATTGAATATTATGATTAATTGCTGTTACGATTTCACTCTTAGTATTTTTCATGTTTTTTGTTGTATTTTCTATTGTACTTTCTGTTGTATCTTCTGTTGTATTTTCTGTTGTGTCTTCTATTTCATTATTTCGAATTCTAACATGTCGAAAACAGTTTGTAATCGTCATAGATGTTATTTCTTCCCATGCATTTTGAATAAACAAAATTGCTTCTAAAACTGTTAACTTTCTTGAAATTAACTCATTACTTTTATACTGTTCTAATAACCATTGTACAAATTTTCTTCGATAATGAGCTTTGAACGATGCAATGATTCCTACATCGCATGGTTGTAATCGTGATGTTGTATTAGGTGGCAAAAATTTGATTGTCGTATTATATAATTTTATATTGGTAACCACATGACTTGGAGCATTGTTAAGAAGAAGAAGAACTTTTTGACCATGCATTTTTCTATCAAAATTAAGTAACCACTCTTGAAATAAAATGGCTGTCATCCAAGCTTTTGTATTGTATTTATATGTTACTCCAAAATTATTAATATTAACGTTTTTAAAACAACGGGGTTTTGTACTTCGTCCAATAACCAATACCTTTAATTTGTCTGAGCCATCACCGTTAGAACAAAAAGTGACTGTTAATCTTTCTTTATTTTTTTTTTTGCCTGCCAATTGTTTGATAGCAAGTGTCGTATCAGGTTCCATCCGGAAAAAGAGACAAGTTTCGTTCATATTATAAATATCCTTTCACTTATATTGATTTAAAAGAGATTTGAGATCATCAATTGTTCCTCAATTGTTTGTTCATTAACAGAGCCACTTTTACCGTGTGTTTGGATCCGTTTTAAATTATGCCGATCCTATAATTGACGAAGCCAACCGTTTGAAAATTCAATTGTATTTTCAGCTATATCTAAATATTTTGCAAAATCTTTTGCTTTTTCTATAATTAATAAACCTGTTAATGGTATTTTTTCTTGTGCTCGTAAACACCATTCTGTTAGTGCCAACTCAAGTTCAGGAAATTTGACATTTCGTATACATTTTTGTAATGGATTTTCTATGTCTGTTTCTAAAAATTCCTTTGATCGTTTTAGTGTTCTTTATATAGTAGCTTGATCAACTTTAATTTGAAATTTTTGATTATACCATTGAACAAGATCTTTTTGTAATATTGTTGGATTATTTTGTTTTTCTAAACAAATATCACGCCATTGTAAGTTTGTTAATGTTGCTCGTGTCATTAGAAACAAGTAAATCTAAAAAAAAATTATAATTAAATAATTTGGTTTAAATAAAAAAAAAAATCATGTGATTTTATATTATTTCCTTTAAATGCATACTCCTCTAAATATGCAAATTTGATTGGTCCCAATGATATGCAATTAGAGGAATGTGACTGTATTTTAAAATCAAAAATCAATATTTTTTATTTTTTCTTATAAATTTTACTTAAAATACAATATTTAATTTTATAATTAGAATTGAATATCTTATAACTAAACTTTATTTAATTATAATAAATAGTAGCAATAGTATTCTACTTGAAACAAAAAATAAATAATCAATTATAATTAATTTCAAAATCTAAAAAACTCTCTCCTGATCGCGTCCGTTTTGCTAAAAATTTTCCTTTTATGGTAATTTCAAGCAAGAAAAAATGTT